CCACCATTTTAAAATAGATTCACTCCAAACAATCATCCAGTTAATGGAAAAAGATTGTTACATGGCATCGATTGACATAAAAGATGCCTACTATTCATTTCCAATCAGACGTAGTGACAGGAAATTTCTTTGTTTTAAATGGGCAGGTCATTTATACCAGTTCACCTGCTTGCCCAATGGGTTATCATCGGCATCCAGAAAGTTCACTAAGATGTTAAAAGTACCCTTAGCAACCCTTCATAGACAAGGACATATATCCTTGGGGCATATAGATGATTTCTACCTACAGGGACAGAATTATGAATCGTGTGTACACAACGTAATAGACACGATTATACTTTTTGCCAAGCTAGGGCTAATTACACACCCAGACAAATCTAACTTTATACCATCACAAGTGATAACAGTCCTTGGCTTCTTGCTCAACTCCAGAACTATGACAGTGAGACTAACGGGGGAAAAAGCTGTACAGTTGAAGCATGACTGCATGCAATTGAAGCAAACCACTTCCCCTCCTATTAGAGAAGTAGCCAGAATTATAGGCAAAATAGTATCTAGTTTTCCTGGGACAACCCATGGACCATTATACCATAGGGATTTGGAACAAGACAAATCTCTTGCCCTAAAACACAACAAAGGAGACTATGAGGCAAAAATGGTCTTGTCTACAGCAGCTAGACTTGAGTTGGATTGGTGGATAAATAATATAACTAGTGCATATCAGGTTATTTCACATGGTCAACCATCAATCCAAATAACTACAGATGCCTCCCTACGGGGATGGGGGGCAGAATGTGAAGGTGTGTCAACAGGGGGACCATGGGCCCTTGAGGAAGCTCAACAACACATTAACAGACTAGAATTGTTGGCCTCCTTTTTGGGCCTGAAAGCCTTTGCGCGAGAGAGGGGCAATGTGCACATCAGACTCAGGTTAGATAACACCACAGCTGTGAGTGTGATCAATCACATGGGCACTAGCCACTCTCAGGCATGTAATACTATAGGAAAGAACATTTGGGAATGGTGCATAGATAGACACATTTGGATTAGTGCTGCATACCTACCTGGGAAACTTAATACTACAGCAGATGCTGAGTCTAGGAACTTTGATGTTCATTTGGAATGGATGCTTGATAATAATATTTTAAGAGAGTCTCTCAAGACCTTGCACTTTGAGCCTGAGATTGACCTGTTTGCATCCAGACTGAACAACCAGTTTCCCAGGTATGCAGCATATAAACCTGATCCCAATGCGGAGATAATCGATGCATTTACAATGCAATGGGGATCACTAAAGTTTTATGCATTTCCTCTTTTCAGTGTAATTCCTTTAGTTCTAAGCAAAATGTGCAAAGAAAAAGCGGAGGGAATAGTAGTCATTCCAGATTGGCCCACTCAGAGCTGGTATCCGAAGGCAATGCAGATGCTGCAGAGACCTCCAGTGCACCTGAAAGCACGAAAAAGTCTGCTTCACCACCAGGTCAGCCAAACCAAGTACATCCTTTACACCACAAACTCAATCTACTGGTGTGCCTCTTATTAGGGAGGCTCTAAATCAGTATAATTTATCAGAGAATGCTAAAAATATATTAATGGCGTCATGGAGAACAGGCACAACGAAGCAGTATAAGACATATCTTACTAAATGGCAATCCCACTGCAAAGTAAACGGGTTGGACATATTCAAACCAGGCTTAGAAAAAGCCATAGATTTTTTGAGTTATTTGTTTCAAGAAGGTTTAAGTTATAGCGGAGTAAATACTGCTCGCTCGGCACTATCAACAATCTTAGGATTAGAGGATGGATTTAAATTTGGTGAACACCCACTGGTTTGCCGATTTATGAAGGGAGTTTTTGAACTTAAACCCGCCTTGCCCAAGTACAAGGAAGTTTGGCAAGTAAGCACCGTTTTAGACTACCTCAAAACAACCAAACCAGCGAGCCAGTTAAACCTCAAAAATCTTTCACAAAAACTTGCGATGCTATTATGCCTCACAACAGCCCAACGATGTCAGACTATCCACCTCATAGACATTAATGGCTTACAAGCTTTGCAGAGAAAATTCCGTTTAACAATCACACACAAGCTAAAACAAACCAAACCTGGAAGACATATTGATCCTATCGAATTGATGGAGTTTAAAGGTGATGAAAAACTCTGTGTTGTTGAGCATCTAAAAGAATATTTGAAACGAACACAGCAGTTGAGGGGTGAACATACTCAATTATTTTTAAGCTTTATCAAACCTTATCATCCGGTAACTAAAGATAGTATTTCTCGGTGGGTTAAATCTGTCTTACAACAAGCTGGTGTAGATGTCACCAAATACACAGCACACAGTAGCAGAGCAGCAACAACTTCACATACCAAACGAAAAGGACTGAGTCTACAAGACATTATGAAAACTGCTGGCTGGACATCTGCCACAACGTTTGAAAAATTTTATCACAAACCCGCCGAAACGTCAAAAACCTTTGGACAAACAGTAATGAGTGAGGATTAAACTCGAACACAGTTTACGTTATTGGTTATATAACTTTATATTATGAAGTATTAATTGTTATTGTCCTTCATAAAAGTTGATATTCGTATGAGCAGAACTTTGAAGTCTCATGTGACTACGTCGTGACGTAGGCTGATGACAAGATAGAATTGGAAATTAAACGAAACTTACCTGTAAGTTGAAGTTTGATTATAATTCTGTCTTGTCATCAGCCAGGAACGAAGGAGTCACATGCCCAGAGCCCACCACCCTGGCTATAAGGACTCCTTCGTCCCACAATAAATTTTCTGCTCACACTCACTTTGAAGACTGACTGACTAGCATGCGCGCGCATCTCATGTGACTCCTTCGTTCCTGGCTGATGACAAGACAGAATTATAATCAAACTTCAACTTACAGGTAAGTCTCGTTTAATTTCCAAATATATGTCATCCGTCCGGTCCGTCCGTCATTCATCCGTCCATCTGTATCCGCGTTTTATCCTACCCGTTTTTAAAACACAAAGTTTGCATAATTAAGGCAGTGCGGTTCGTCATCAGAGGAGGTTGGGTGACTATACCGGCATGCATTGCGGTCAGGCACATTTTGTTACATATCGATTTCTCGGCAGTGCACGTCATTGTTCGGTAGCTTTCGCGGAAGTCAGAACTGGAGAAGTATTTCAATATTGCAACTAAAAATATGGCAAGTTTTCGCTGCATTCGAGGGAAGAATGTTTCAGTATTGCATGGACAAGAGCTTCTGTTTGTTCATTGTGCGAATGCGTGTCTAAAGAAACTTTAATCTATACCGTGTGTCGAACTTGAATGTCGTGAGAATGTGCCAATAGCGCTATGTCCATCGGTTGTTTACTTGTTTATAATGGAAATATTTGAAAGAAAGTCTACAAAATGTTCGCTGAATGCAGTCCTGCATTGATAGAAATACAATTCGAGCTGCGTTTTTACGGTAAGATGATTTAGATGCACGTTGTTTACTTTAATTCATTGTGTTGTCTAATTTATAAAAGTTTGTGCATCAAATACTTGAATGAGTTGAATCCTTTGAAAATGTTGACATGATTATAAATATACGTACATCTCATGTTTTCAATAGAATTTTGACAATGTTAGTTTTATTTAGCTGGGGGAGAATATTTGATTGAGGACTGGAAAATTAATTCATGTCAGTTAACTCCATTAAGATGCAATGTACCTGATACTGTATAAATGCAACCTACTTTATTATATTATTCTGCCTAACACGTACAGGCAATGTTATTTGTTGAAAATATTCAGTGATAAAGATGATTGCCACAGCTTTGTAGAAAGCATGTTTTAGTTGTTTTAGCAGCCCAATTGAGATACGTAGTAGGGCTTGTACACCTATAAACACAGTGCATAACAAAGTCTGTGCCCTCTTTGTTTATCTTTCAGTTGTTTTCAAACTTTTCATCAATGGAAGTGGTTACACATGAGGATATTCTTGCCATAACATGACCAGGATGAAGAACATCTGGATGTGATGTGGCGAATGATGGCGATATAGCTTTGGAGACGAAAGCTGTTACTGGTACTTCAATATAGCTGTGAACCTTGGTTGCATTGTATACAATAAATACCCTTCATATCAATATCTTCAATGGAACACTTACTATCTTGGCATAAAAAGAATCGCACTGTACTGTCACCATACAAAATGTGTGATGCTATGCTGTACTGCATTGAAACAACCACTACTAATAGTGTTTGCCATAAATAGAAATGCAAAATTGGTTTTGGAAGAGTCTTGTAATACTGACTTTTCTAGCACTCAAAATAACGGGTCAAGGGTCAATCATCTGGCACACAAAATAATATACAGTAGTTACATAAATTGTGTATTTTACCCCCAAAACTCTGGTTTGAACATCATCCTGACCTATTAAATTCCCTGATTTGTTTCAAGTGCTGTTTTTTGTTTGTGCTGTGTACTGACCACAGTATAGGGAGACAACCAGTAGGGCCACTTAGGGGAGAGAAAAGTGGCAATTATTTAAGCTAGGTTCCAGGTGTCTTACGCGGCCAAAATCATTATTCTGTAGTACAATTTTATAGTGGACTGCTGCCGTTTACTGGCTGCCAATATGTAAATTAGGTTGGCAGCCAGTAAACAATGTAGACACTTTTTTACGCTGAGTGGCCCTACTGTACTTTTCCTATACTGTGGTACTGACTGTGGTTATACCCAGGTTTTCTTTGCCCTGCAGGTTATTTCTTGGCATTTCCTATTATATGCAGCTGTAGCAAAAGTGTTGGTATTCTGTGATGCCATCTTACCAATTCTGCAGTTTTATATGGCTAATAATAAACAATGAACTGATTAAATACCTGCTAACAGTCTTAACACATGGTGTGGTTTTATTTATTTCACTCTTATAAAAGATACTTAAGTAAACAGATCACACAGAATTGATGTTCAATAAAATTTATTTCTGTCAAAGTACAAAAAATGTTAACATTACTCTAATAATGCTACATGAAAGGTGAATGATAAAAATACACTGTATACGAATAGTGATGCTTTTTTCTCTTAATGATGTACATTAAACATTCTAGAGGAATTATATTTCTTTGTAAACCTATAAAATTGTAATCATTTGTGTTTGAACCTCACTGCAAAATAACCACACCAAAACGGCCACACTCTGTTGCTGATTCCATGACAGGCTTAGATTTATGATTAGATTTACTTAGATTCAAGTTCTGCTAAACTGTCAGATTGGGTCAAACGATAATGGATGTCAGCATCTTGCAAACTTTTTTCTGTAGCAAACAGTTGTTAATGTTCGCAGACGGCAATCTATATAAAGTATGAAAAACAGATAAAGTGGATATAATTTATGATAAGGACACATTTTCACTCTGTGTCATCATACTGCGGCTCAGCTCTATGACCTGAAAATTTTACTTGAAACATCAAAACAACTAAATTGCCAAATAGGACCTTTAATGGAAACATCTATTTCTTTTGAATTTTGCAGGTAGTTACCCTTATTATAAAGAACTCTAACAAACTTTATACTTGACAGCAGAATGTTTGAGGAAGCAGTGGCGGAAATCTTGGTGGGGGGGGCACCTTCCAGAAAATTGACGAATTTTCAGAAATTTTGATCTAAGAGGGCTAAAAACAGTCTTTTCGAGTGCAAACGGGGGGGGGGGTATTTCGGAAATTTGAAAGTGTTGTTGGAAATTTAGGAGGCTCCCCCCCCCAGAAAAAGTGAGTACTGAATATTTGGATATGCATAGCACCATCATCCCAGAAACAGTTCTTCACATTATAGACATTATATAACCCATTGAGCCACAATGTGCCCTACTTATTTTTTATTTGTCTAACGCCAGACGATTTTACTCATCAGTGGGGAAGCTTTGCAGCTTAATGGGTTAACCAAAAAATCTGACAATGTCTCTAGCTAACCCATTGAGCCGTAATGCGCCCTACTTTTTTTTTACTTGTCTAACGCCAGACGATTTTACTCGTCAATGGGGAAGCTCTGCAGCTTAATGGGTTAAACGATGGCCACTATTAATACATTGGATCTGTTTTGATAATTGATATGAATTCAGTAAGTGCCCTATCTTTCTCAAAGGTCCATTTATGATATTTTACTGGGGACTTCGTTATAGGAGTCTGATAAATCTTTCTGCTAGGAAAGTACAAAATAAACAGTGTAAACTTCAATATTTAAATCGGAAATTGCTCTTCAGTTGAACAACAATCTTCAGTCGTACTGTATTTTTATTATATTTTACAGTAATATTGTAATCCAGGATTCTGAAACACAGTCAGTAGACTCAGTACAGTTAAATGTGGAAACATGTATGCGTTTGTTCAAAAGAATTTGAAGAAAATAGTGATTCGTACTGTAGTTTTTACTTCGCGCCAAATGATAACCGCGCGGTCAATTCCCGCCCTCAGCGAAAGAATATAGCAAAAGTACCCCATTTTCAAACCGCGATTACTAGTCGATTTCGTCGAGCTACTTTGAGTTTTAAAGTACGAATGGAAAGAATAAACTTTCCTTAATTCTCCGACGTGTTTTATTTTAATTTCCCATCAAAAAAATGAAAGTAGCTTCTGCATTTTTTGAAAGCCACTTTTGTGACGTGTCCACTGACCCGAATCAAGCATAAATACAATACGTAATTAACTTAACTAAAAAGCAATTTCTGTACCAAACAAGTCGAAAATAGTTTAAGTAGGTTATTAAATAATACAAATATAAAAACATACCTTCGAAAAAATGATGTCTTCAAAGATAAAAATCGCAATATATTTCAACAACTTTTCACTAAACGTTTGTCGAAAATCGCAATTGTGAATAATAATGAGACGCAATGCATGCCGGTATAGTCACCCAACCTCCTCTGACTAACTACTGTATATCGCTATATTTACAGAGGTTTGAGTTTACGGATATGCTATGATAATATCTAAAAAATCCAATATGAAACATTGGTTTTTCTTTACATTAAGTTTAAAACTTTGGACTGTCATTCTAGATTTTAGTGGGTCATCAAGGCTATTTCAAATTGTGGAAGCCCTGTATAAAAAAGACTTCTGAGTTTTAGAAGTTCTACAAAGAGGTTTATGTAGTTGTTTACTCTGCCGTGTTACGCGATTACTAATCTCAGAACGAGTAACAAACTTTTGGCATAGGTAATCAGGTGCTAACATGTTCATACATTTATACGTCATAACACAATCCCAGAATACAAAATATTCTCAACGAGAAGCCATTTCAGTTGCTTTAATGCAGGTGTTATATGGTCGTATTTACGAGAACCTGTCATTATGCGTGCGGCAAAATTTTACACTGTCTTAAGTTTACAAATGTTCTTCTGACTCGTTGAGGACCAAACAGTGGAACAATAAAACAGCTTGGAAAAGACATAAGATCGTATTATCATTTCCAGAGTTGATTGCCTAAATAAGTTCTTGATTCTATTTACTTGATGCAGTTTCTTCATACAAGATGATACCGATTGCTTGATGTGTTCATCAAAAGATAGACTTGGGTCCATAATTAAGCCAAGATCTTTGGCATTTTGGACTGGTTGTACAGTTTTCCCGAGAAACGTAAATGAGGTATCGGCTGGAATGTGTTTCAGCATCTGCTGTGTTCCAAAGAACATAATCTTCGTTTTATCCGGGTTAGCAAGCAGGCAATTGTTACTTAAGTACGTAGCAACCGTGAAAAGGTCATTGTTTACTGTCGTTACTACATCTTGTAATTTTCCAATGCAAAATGATAAAAACAGTTTAGAGTCATCTACATAACTTTCCAGTTCACTGTTTAGCGGGATACAAGGAAGATCATTGATGAATAAATTGAACAATAAGGGTCCTAATATACTACCTTGTGGAACTCTGGCCCTACCAGTTAGGAAAGGTCGTATTGGATTGGCAAACCTATGCTTTGAAGCTCTATTGGAGTGTTTAGTGTCAAAAAAGGTAACAGCACCACTGGCAGACCAAATTCAATTACAATTACATGAACTTCCTAATTATTCGAAAACACAAGAACAAACGGTACGGAAAGATAAAACAGATTTATTAAATGAGAAAGCTGAATCTCTCATCGAATTAGCGTCACCAAAGATGAGGCAAATGATAGAACTTGTCTCGTAGAAAGGAGCCCCCTTGTAGTTAACAGTCGTCCCAGCGTCCGAGATGGACTTTACTTTAAACAAGTGGGAGTTTAAAGATGCATTAAAGTTGAGATTTGATTGGTCTTGCAATGATAATCCAACAAGATGTGCCTGCGGCGATATTTTCAAGATCGATCATGCCATGATCGATATACAGGCAAGGTTGTTTCCATCTTTGAACGCAATAACGAAATACTAGATCTGGAAGCGAAGCTCTTGAATATTGTCTACAACGATGTCAAGGTTGAACCGACACTGCAGGAAATAAATTGTGAAGTGGGTCTGGATCGAATAAATAACCAGACGCCGTGGATTTTGAGAAGACAAAGACGCATTCTGCATTCTTTGATATCCAGGTATGTCACCCAAATGCGGAATCTTACAAAGAGTTAACCCCAAAGCAAATTTATCGTATGCACGAAAACAAGAAGCGCGTGTATAATCAAGGTGTTACTGATATTAGAGCAAGGATTATTCACGCCGATTGTCATAAGGGAGAAAGGTACTCAAAGACAATTCTTGATAGGTGTAAATCGCTGCGTCTTCATGGAAGTTTTGGTTCTTCGTCACGTCAGAATCAAAGTTAATTAAACCGCCTACGCATTTTTAAATGACAGTACATCTGTGATAATGACAGTACATCTGGTTTCTGTTGTCGAATAGCGCAAATGTTCGTCCGAAATTATCTTTGCATCTCTCTATTTTGAAGCGGTTGCAGAGAGGTCATTAAAACTAAGTTATTCAAGTTGTACAATACAACACGTGTCCAAATCCAAGAATTGCTTTGTCCTTTGCCGCACCCCAAGTCTTTGACTGATCTTCACAATCAAGTTGTCTATATCTCAAAATATTTTATTTTTGTTGCCTGTAGTACCGTTTTATTTTCAATGGTGATGTTTACGTTTCGAAGCGACGTTGACTGTTTTCTATTGGTTAAGATCATAAACTTCGTTTTGTCGTAGTTCAAGATAAGGAGGTTGTTGTTGAGCCAGTGCATGAGAATTCTAGCTTGCAGTTCCGTTGCTTTCCTCCCAGAATAATGCAGTAAAGTATCACCAGCATGCAAAATAGATTTCCGGTCATTCAGTCAGTCAGTTAGGCAAGTCATTAATGTATATGAAGAAAAGTAGAGGTCCTAACTACAGTATACGTGCCTGCGGCACGCCTACAGTTATTGGTTTTGGATTTAATGTGTAGTCGTTGGTGGATAGAACTGCTGTCTATTTATCTAAATATTTAATATTTTATATATATTATTACATATTTCACCAAATACGCGTGCGATGTTTCATTAATACTTCTCGAATCGTTTAATTTCCTATTCAAATCACATTAATCTATACCGTCCATGCTAGTTTTTGTTAAACAACATCGTTCTGGCTAGTCAATTCGCGAGGTGAAAAATATCAAACACGATAGATATTTTCCTCAAGACCTCGAAAGGTTAAAACCACACGAAAGCCACCCGAGGCGGTTAGCTCTGCAACTTTCTCTTGTGTACGACAGGCTTAAAAGGTCTGCTTCTAACGAAAACATGTTTAGTTTGGCTCCAAGTTCGCTCGCTACTCTTTCCGTACGCAAAAGAAACACAACAAAATATGATTTTATGGGCTCCTCTGCTTCACTGCAACTACCTTTGCCAAAAACTGAAAACCTTAAGAAAAGTTTCTGTTATGATGGAGCTCATTACCCGAAGATATGCGTGATTCAGATACATAATCAACATTCATAAATGCAATTAATTAATTTTGTACATAATTGTTTTGTAGTTATTTGTAGTTTAGTCACAGGGGGCCCCACTATGAGTTATGATTGAAATAATATTGTACAGTATTTATTTTTAAAAACCTACTTGAATCCCTTGATAATCGATTATTTCTTCTCTTGAAGTTCTGTAAACATTTTGAACTGCTTGGAGTCATAGACTATCACTCTACATGACGTTTCACGAAGTATGGATGATCGCTGACAAGTAAGGACGCGGGCGCGAAAAGACGAAGGCGGCGAAAGAAGGGAGAATTAAACTGAAGGGTTGAAACATCGACTAGATGGCATTTCTAAATGCCTTAAACTTCACAATTTATTTGTGTTTTCGAATATTTTTTTTCAGATTCTCTGTCTTTTTGGACATATCTTCACAACTGATGTAGTAGATTCAATAAACGATTGACTTTTCGTATGTTTTTACATGAAACACTCGAAGGGGTTTTTCGCACAATGTGTTCCATAAGTAGGTTGTTCTCGTGACGTCAAGTATAATTTTAAAAGGTTTACAGAACTTCGAGAGAAGAAATAATCGATGATCAAGGGATTCAAGTACGTATTTAAAAATAAATACAATATTATTTCAATCCTAACTCACATTGGGGCCCCGTGCGAAATTGCCCGAGAACAGCCTACTTATGGAACACATCAAACGATGATCTGCCGATATTTCAACCCTTTAGTTTAATTCTCCCTAGTTTCGCCGCCTTCGTCTTTTCGCGCCCGCGTCCTTACTTGTCAGCGATCATCTATACTTCGTGAAACGTCATGTAGAGTGATAGTATAATGACTCCAAGCAGTTTAAAAGGTTTACAGAACTTCGAGAGAAGAAATAATCGATTGTCAAGGGTTCAAGTAGGTTTTTAAAAATAAATACAATATTATTTCAATCATAACTCATAGTGGGGCCCCTGTGGTTTAGTGTGTATAATATTTTGTTATATAATATCATGTAATCCACACGCCCCACGTGGAAATCTGCATACAGTTGACGGGGCCAGCGTGTGACCTTTTAAATAAAGTTTTACCTACCTACCTAGGTTCGCCTTTATCAACTGGCATTTAAGTTGCTGGTAGATGTGTAAACGGAAATAACAAACAAATAATAAAGCATACCTGGCAGTGATATTCGTTCGAATTTTTAAGTACGGCATCTTCTCCAATCCCCACCAACTCCAATTTTCAAACCTAACGGGATTTTTACAACTCACATCTTCAAATGGCGTGGATTCTTGGCGAAGAAAATGCAACAAAGGCAAAGCAAGCAGAAAACTATCAACAAGAGACTCCGTTTCTGATCGTCGTTGGTAAAACTGAACAATTATCTCCTTGAAGGAACTATATATAAAAAGATATGAACAAGTATTTTTATCTGAAGTTAAATTCAGCAATTTCTGTGGCCTAGAAACTATCCATAAGGCCTTGCAATCCTAAGCCCAAGCCTAACCCATACTATAACCTAATCCCAATCCTTGTAACGTCATTTGGGGATAGTAATGTGCAAAGTTACCCCAATATTTATATCACATTTTGCAACACCTAAAACAAAAAGTTGGTTTCAAGTTCAAGTTTGGTTTCAAGTTTAAACAGTATTCCAGTCTGAAGCAAAGCCGAAGAGTGAAACCAGTTGAGGTGACTTAAAATCCAATCCAGTCCCATTCGGAGGCTTCCGAAAGATATGTCATTCTCCTTAGGCCTAATTAAGAAGTTATTCCAGTTCCAGGCAACCATTATCCCAGTCGTTCATTATCCCACTCATTCAAGTCGGTTAATTTCTTGGGCGCATTGTATAAAAACATAGCTAAAGTTATTTATAGTCAACTGCCGCAGTTAAATCCTTAATGTAATAATGAGTCAACTACATGACGTAATTTCGTTGCAGATAGCGTAGTTAGTCTTGGTAACACACGCAAATATCGTTGTAATATTGTTGGCGACAAGTTGTTAGCTTGTTAGCTAAGTTACAAGTTGCAACAAGCCTGTGATTTTATGAAGTTGTAGCATGTTTGTTGTTATCAAGCTGGTTACAAAATGTTTGTTTGCAGACTGGCAATTAAGTTGTTGGAACAACTTGCACCAAGTGTGTTGACAAGAAACAAGTTGTTGAAAAGTTGATTGAGTAGTCAAATTGCAAAATTAAAAGATCCGTTCCAACAAGCTTGTAGCAAAGCTGTGTTTAACAAGTCCGTACCAAGTCTGCCAATAACTAATAACGGTCTTAAATTTTCTGTGTTGGTTTAATGTACTCAGGTGAATAAGATGCTTGTGATGTTACTCTGAGTGTATATCCCCACCGGGCAGGCTTGAAAAATATGCCTGGCCACGGTGGGAATCGAATCTACGACCTTTGGAATACTAGCCTAATGTTCTGCCAACTGAGCAGGTCGGTCGGTTCAAGTATTTTATTTTATTCAACCGGACCCTTAAAGGTCTTCCAACAAATTGGTTGCTCTTCTTCAGGTATTTGAATAGTGTTTTAACATTGCTGTTGGTACTACCAATAACGTTGCAAGTATGTGAGACACCTGAAAGAGCAATAGAATTTTGAGCATAAACTTACTTTAAAATTTTGTCGTCATACTCAATGACACTCTTCTTAAATTTGGAGCATACTTCTTTATCTGGAGGTAGTCTGAGACATTTCAATAAACTTTCATATTGCTCAGGTTTCAAATAAACATGATACTTGGTAAACACGTAAGCAATTGTTACTGATGACACGACGGCTTCAACTTCAGCTTTCGCATCCTTTGACTTACTTTCCACGACTTCCAAATTTTTCAGAATTTTCGGCATCAAAATCTCCTTAAAAAGCTTCAAGAAAGAATAATATAATTTGATTGTGATCTTATATTAACTGATAAAAATTCCCATGTAACATACAATCAAAGCCACAATCTTCGGATACCTTCACGCATGAGACGAAAATTGGTTATACTTAAACTTTTTATAATATGGTAGACTAACATGTGCATGTTTATGGACTCGAACCACGTTTTTACTCTGACATAGCCAGCAGTCTTATCAAATTGGGAAGCATGGCTTGACAATTTTTTTATGAATCGAAAATTTTAGATATCCACATACCGCGCTATGCATGCTAGACGTGTACATCGGATCCGATTGGACGTTTATAATCCGACAATTGGCTAATGTTTAAAATCCAATCCGATCCGAAATTTTCTAATCCGAATCCGATCGGATCCGAGTTTTGATAAAGAATTCCGATCCGATCCGAAGAATCCGTTAATAAAATAAATTTCTCATTCAAGTGGAAATATTTAACCGATTAAATATAAAACAAGACGCCTGCTCAGGCGTTTACACTGGCCTGAAAATAACGAGATACGTGCTATATGGTGCAAAAGGCAGGAATACAAATCTTAAACCACAGGCAAATTTTATGGACTTTTTAAAAAAATAAAAGACCTTTTCGGGAGACGTAATGGTGCAAATCTATTACTAGGAGTTACTATCGCAAGGAAAGTGCTGCCTTTATGGCGTATTAACTGAATGCAAAAATTTATACTTCTAGACAATTCTCGGTTATATCCCCAATGTTTCCTTCTCGTCCATCATTTAAGCCCGTTCACAAACTCATTCTTAAATTGTGTGCACGGAATACGAGTAAATAGCCAACATGAAAATGAAGCCATTGGGTCAAAAGTGGATATTAAGGTCTATTAACCTATTAGCTGACAATGCACACAACTTTTGTATTAACTCTGGCTAACGCCAGACCAATTTACACTGTAACGCCAGACGATTTTACTTGTTAGTGACAGAGTACTGTCAGTAAATGGGTTAACAAACACATCTGACATTGGTAATCCGTTAACAGGCAATGCACCCTGCTTTAGTATTCTTTAGTAACTCTTCAGAATTTGCTCAGAGTCAATGTGAATAAAATACATCTTGTATTCAAGCGCTTTCATGTACAAAGTTTCGTTTGAATACGGCACAGAGTAGGAATATTTATTTTGAATTTTTCAACTATTTATATCGGGTTTTTACTCGCACGCACGTTTATAGCTCGATTGATGCACGTGCAAATCATGCCGACCTACGGAATCTATTTCCGGTTTTTCCTAAACAGCGCGTTGAGTTTTGATCGCCGCGCTAAAAATATAAATATTCTGTAAATACCGAAATAAAAGATGAAAATCCCAAGACACAAGCTTGAAAATAACACTATAAATAGTGTTTTCGATTCTGGTTCCAATAATATTATTACGAAAAAGATATGTCCAAAGGGGCCGAAGTTATGTTCGGCAAAATGTATGGCCATGGCTAGTTTACATTGTTTGTTATATTATGAAATATGATACCATACTTGTATTAAAATTCGCGTCGAACTAAATGTTATTGTATTAGGAATATTAGGCAAACAAGACGCCTGCTCAGGCGTTCACACTGACCTGAAAATGACGACATACGAGCTACGGTGCAATAGACAAGATTAGAATACAAATCGTGAACCGCAGACGCAAAACGTGAAAGGCTAAAAGCGTGCCGTGATCCTCAGGAGATGTTTTCGTAATGCCCAATAAACACACAAGAATTACTCACAAATACACACGTTATCCACAAATGCACATGGTTTAGCTCTGAGCATGCGATGCGCTAACGCAGACAACATTGTTTACATTCCGTGAGTCCGTATATTAAACGTATAAAACTTGAAAAACTCAGCGATCCAGATATTGCATTTCCAGAGACGTTGCACGAAAAAACCCCAACCATGCAGTCAACTTCCAACTATGAAGTGCAGTCTGAAGGTAAAACGTCTTAAGTCGAATTTTAGACCCCTGCGATTTAAACAGCGCGTTGTTTTGACTTACGTTCTATGGGCCGCGCTAAAAATATAAATATTCTGTAAATACCGAAATGAAAGATGAAAATCTGAATTAAGACACAAGCTTGAAAATAACACTATAAATAGTGTTTTGGATTCTGATTCCATTAATACTATTACGAAAAAGGTATGCCCAAAGGGGCCGAAGTTATGTTCGGCGAAATGTAGGGCTAGTTTACATTTTTCATTATATTATGAAATATGATACCATACCTCACTTGTATTAAAATTCGCATCGAAGTTAAAAGTAATGTTATTGTTTGACGCAACAAATCTCCAGTAACACAATAAAACGTCTAAAGGGTAAAACGTCTTAAGTCGATCAGTAGCAGGTTTATTAGCTTTGAATTAGCAGGTTTATTAGCTTTGTATGTCATTGCTCTGAAGATGTCTTAAGTTAAAGACGAAACGTTAGCTTTGAACCCATCACGGATGTATGTATATATGTGTATTGCATATGATAGAAACACATTGAGTATACAATTCTACTCTGCGCATACAATATTTTCATTATTTTGTAGTCAAACTGTCAAACTTGCCCTTGTTTATATTCTATTCTGTTGTATCAATTCGCTTGATACAAATCCCATACAATATAGTACAGAGAAACGGTGAAATGCTAAAAGCGTGGCGTGATCGTAATGCCCAATGAAACACAAGTATTACTCACAAATACAAACGTTATCCGTAAATACACATGGTCTCTGAGGTATGTAGGGACTCAGGAGGTTTGGAACTGGTAATTGACTTGTGCGCGTGCGTACAAGTGTATGGGCTAATAAAGAAATTAAAGATGTACCACAAGCATGGCATGAGACTGCTACTACGTACATAAATACGGACCTTGTTACTATGAAAACTAAATCAAGCAGTCGAGGAATCGAATGGCATTTGAATCGATGGCATTTTGGGTTAATCGTTGCACACTGAGCCTGCGATGCGCTAACGCAAACTCCATTTCTCGACGAAAACAGCTGAGGTCTACTTGTGGCAAGTCTAGCAAATGAGAACCACACATGTCAATAATGGTTCTAGTTCTTGTTGGTATTTTGAAAGCACGCTTTATCTTTAGTATAGCTACCGCATGACAAAGCTTTTCGCGCGGATTATATTTCGCGCAGTACTAAAATTTCCGCACCCAGCGGCCAGCGCTACGCGAATTCTCTTAATTCTAGTACTGCGCGGATTTTAATACATGTATTTAAAGATATATTGTCGACATTTGACTAAAACTATCGTAAGGAATTAGGAAAGTTTGTCCTTGTTTATATTCCAATATATTGTATAAATTCGCTGGGTACAAATTTATGAATTTATGGGGTTTTCGAGTCGTTTAATTTAATAAAAAAAACACACATTCATTCAACAGGCAAGAAAGTCCAGAGTGCGACGCAAAAAATTAACACAAGTACACAACGGATGTTATGAGTCCACGACGTATATTTATAGTTGTTTATTAAAAATTAAGTCAAACTGTCAAACCTTTAACTTGTCCTTGTTTAAATATCCTTCTATATATTGTATCAATTCGCTGGGTCCAAATTTTGTGGTTTTCGAGTCGTTAGACAAAGAAAAACACATTAATTCAACACGCAAGAAAGTCCAGAGTACGACACAACGTAAAATCCATAGGAAACCGGCACAATTCTTTGAAAATTCAACGAAACTGTGTAAAATATAGTTTGATCAGTCGCCATTGGAGTTCGGAATTGTGCGCGTGCGTACAAGTGTATGGGCTAATAAACGCAAAATATACCACAAGCATGGCATGAGCCGGGTATTACGTACATAAATACGAGCTTGTTACTATAGTATCTAAATCACGGGAACCGAGGGGAATCGATGGCACTTTGGCTTAATCGTTGCACCCTGAGTCTGCGATGAGCCAACGCAAACTCCATTTCTCGACGAAAAAAAAACAGAAAAAGGGGGATTTAAGACACTTTGCCTTACAGGCCAGTGTAATTAAGGCGGGGGTACACATGGATTGATGGTCATTTTTGAAATGGCTGTAATTTTAAAGATATTCACCAGAGTTATGACAAACTATATATCAGTAGAAAGCTTATGACCTATAGAAACTAAAAATACTAATCACTAGTGCCTAACATCCTTTGTAACCTGACACC